AGTCTGAGAAAATGTGGTACCAGCATTCCTTGTCCAAAGTCTGGACTGAACGGCGGCGACGGCGGCGACGGCGGCGGCAGCCAGAGATCTCACTGTCTTCTTCCATCTCAGTGCCTTCTTCCACCTTGCCGTCTTTTTGGACAAGTCCTTCAGATGATTTGCCCTCGTTGCGCTGGTGTGCCACTCCAGCGTCTGCCTTTGTATCTTCCAAGTCATCTTCTTCAGTATCTGTGGGATCGCCCGAGCCGCCATGGTGACTGGCATTGGCAGTGGCGTGAAAAACATCTTGATCCTCTTGCAACAACGCTATAAAGCATGTGCATTTCCAGCTGGTAATCTTGTCCGACCAATTCCAAGAGTCAAACTGGTTGTAACTCTTTGTGACTGCCGTGGGACTAGAAGTGCCATCGACTATGTCCCAACTATAGCTGCCACTGCAGGCAGCGCTGTCATACACTGTAAGCTTGCATCCTGGAGAAACACCAGCAAGCCCTGAGCTGATCATGTTGTCATAATATCCGCTGCTATATGTTGTAAGATCATCGCAAAGGCCATCGCCCATCTCATAGTTCATCCAACCACCTTCAAAAGCGGAGTCTGAGAAAATGTGGTACCAGCATTCCTTGTCCAAAGTCTGGACTGAACGGCGGCGACGGCGGCGACGGCGGCGGCAGCCAGAGATCTCACTGTCTTCTTCCATCTCAGTGCCTTCTTCCACCTTGCCGTCTTTTTGGACAAGTCCTTCAGATGATTTGCCCTCGTGGCGCTGGTGTGCCACTCCAGCGTCTGCCTTTGTATCTTCCAAGTCATCTTCTTCAGTATCTGTGGGATCGCCCGAGCCGCCATGGTGACTGGCATCGGAAGTGGACACTGTCGTCTTCTGTGCCTTGTCATCTCCATCCTTCAGCTGTAGCAGTCCCGCAGCCCTGGATGGTTTGCCAAGTGCCTCACAATCGCCACTGTCACTGGCTGCGACTGCACTGGCTGCAAGGCTCAGAAGCACTGCGAGAAGATTCAGCGGCCACATCGTGTCTGGAAGCGCGGTAAAAGTGGGTGTAAAGTTGAGCCGGCTGAGCACGGTGTGAGATCATGACCATTCCATTTATCATTGCAAATCACTGATAGTCACTATGTTGCTCACACTCACAGCACACAATGCGTGGCGGTCCCAATTGGTCTCAACCGCAGCAGCCAAGAGCTCTGGGATTCGCTTCACATAGGTTTCGAAGCTTTGTTGTGGATGCTCCTCCGGGCAGCCAATTCGAGTCAAATCCAGAAGCAAGAAACGATTCAAATATATGTTTTCCTTTTGATAAGATATAATCATAGAATATTGCCGCCACACTCAAGGCTCGGAATGAAAGAAACATGCGGACAACTACTCTCCATCAATCACAACCATGTTTCGCAACAGCACTGCCCGTGCGCATTCACAGATTCGTTGGAAATGGGAGATTCCATCAAAAAATCCAACAAACTTTGGTGAAAATATGCCCCTCTGATCCGCTCCGAAACCAGGGGAGAAAGTTCCAGCTTCATCTCGCTGAGAGCCTGGTGTGGAGCACGATCAGGTGAAAACCATTTCGGGATCATCAACTGTTCAAAGAATTCCTGCCTCTGCAGGTGGACCCAAGCAATCCTGACAGGATGCTGTGTCGTCATCCCCAGATTTCTTTCAAACCATCGTAGGACACCCAACAGTGCCACATTCATGATGACCAGCATGGGTCACATCATGGGTTGATACCCTGACGGTTGTTGGGTGGTGTTCATCCCCCTGAAGAATATTAGTCATGTTGGACCCTCCTCGTAAATGATGGAGAACAACTCAAACCACCAGGTATGTTGCTCCATGTATCCCAAATTTTGCCGGTCAAAATCCTATTTGTTGTTGGAAAATCCCCCATTCATGGGCGGCTAATTTTAATAGTTGGTTGGTGTCCCATTCTTGAAGGGTGCAGGTTATTTTTTGGCGTTCAGTCTGGGGCACTTGTTCTTGCTATTTGCTGCATTTCGGAACTAGAAAATGTCATTTGCGGTGTTTTGGGCATGAAAATCGCTAATTTGGCCGCTGTTTGCGACATTTTGGGCCTTGGATCTCTTGTTGGCAGGAAATTCGCAACATCTTGCAACGAGCATGCGCACAAGATTGCGTGCATCATGTTGACTTGAGGCCCAGGGGTACGGGACGAAAGCTAGCTTGGCAAGGAGCATGCCATGAAAACACAAAGGGCACAGCGCAGCTATGCAAATTTTTTCGTCAACGTGGACGAGCAGGTCTGAAGCTGGTGAGTGTTGGTAAGCTGAACATCCAGACCTACGTATTGAGGCGATGTATGTTGGAAGGGACGAGGATGAGAACATATGATTATTATGTGCGGCTGCACGAAGATGAGGAAATTCAGCGTAGCCAACATGCTGACCAGTGATTGGGGAAGAAGGTCCACCTTTGGCAACAGAGTGGACCTTTGGAAGCGCGGCGGGAAGAAGTAACGCAGTGCAAAACCGAAGTTGGGGATGAGAGGTATGTATGCGCGCACAACATGAAAACGAAGATAGGCCACGATGAAGGCTACCCATGACGAGCATGCCAATCATGAGCGCCGCTGCATCAATGAATTGAAGAGAAATGAAGCATGCCCTATTGACGAGGCAAATCCTGCAGAGGATGGCGATGCCGCCGCTGTTCCTGACGGTGTCCCCAGGGGGGTTGAGCCCACGAACCAGCCAAGGGCGGCGGGGGAGGGGAGGGGGTAGTTAACTGGGAAGCTTCTCACGATTGGGGATTCCAGCCCTCCAATACCTTGCTAAAGTAAGAGGGGTTTCAGCTAGCGGAAACTAGCTTTCGTGACTAATTGTAAACTGAAGCCTCTTGTTTAAATGGTATGTGTAGCATTGTGGCACAACAATCTGCAATTCGCATGGTATTTGCTCCATGTTGAAACATGAAACCTGCTCTCACTGTTAATTTACTTGTTTTCTACCTGGTCTGGTTGATAGCACAATAGCAGCAGCATATCGGCAATTTTGGAGATTGCTTTAGGGTTGGTTTGGGGTTTAATAACGGTTGGCTTTAGAAAATAGGGTTTATTTAGGGTTAGTTTAGGATCTAGTTAAAGGTTGGTTAGGGTTGGTTGAGGGTTGGATGAGGGGTTTAAGGATATAATGCGTGCATAAAAGTAACTGGAAACAGTGTATGTATGTATATATGTATGTATGTATGTCTGTCTGTCTGCCTGCCTGCCTGTCTGCCTGCCTGCCTGCCTGCCTGTCTGGTCTGTCTGGTCTGGTCTGGTCTGGTCTGGTCTGGTCTGGTCTGTCTGTGCATGCATGCTGCATGCATGCATGCATGCATGTATGTATGTATGCATGTATGCATGTATGCATGTATGCATGTATGTTTGTATATGTAAATATATATATATATTAGATGTATGTACACCTCGTATTTCTCCGTATATATATTTATTTTACATATATATTGATGCATTACATACATACATACGTACATTACATACATACATACATACATACCATTACATTACATTACATTACATTACATTACATTACATTACATTACATACATACATACATATGTTACATACATACATGCATGCATGCATGCATGCATGCATACATACATACATGCATACATGCACACATACATGCACACATACATACATTACATTACATTACATTACATTAAATTACATTACATTACATTACATTACATTACATACATACATACATATGTTACATACATGCATACATACATACATACCTACCTACCTACATGCATACATACATACATATATACATTACTTACATACATACATACATTCATACATACATACATACAATAAACATTTATATACACAGAGTATATATATTTTTACAGAATACATATACAAAAGAGTGTATATATATATACAGTGTATATATATATATATAGTGTGTATATATATACAGTGTATATATATATATACAGTATATATTTTTTCATTCAATGCATAGAATATATATATATACAGTAACATATTTATATACAATGTACAAAATTTCCTATGCAACATATATATATATATACACAGTATGTCTATTTATTTATGAATATATATAAATACAGTATTTATATATATATATGTATATATATATATATGTATATATAAATATATTTATATGTATATATATAGAATGTGTGTATATAAAATATGTTTGTACAGCATATATATATAGTGTGTATATATATATATTGCATGTATAAATATATGCATACATATCTATTTACATATATGTAGTTATACACAATAAATATATATATATATATGTATTGTGTGTATTGAAATATATACTCTACATATATCTATGTGTACATATATATATATACACATGCAGACTAAGTGTGGTTACAAGTGTGCAAGCTTGGATTGGAACAAAGAAGCGGGAGGGGGGATTGAGGGCAGAGCTGACACAAGGGCGCAGCGCCTCCCCCCCGAAGCAGAATGACAATACCTATTCTCACATGTAATGCTGCAGGTTGAAGAGGTACTCGGGTCGTATATAATGCACAAAATGCACCTTGTGAACATGAAGAACGCAGGTTGAGGCACAACCGTGTTGTGCGCACATAGTTTCATTGGATGTCTTCAAAGTGTTCCTTTAAATTCTATTATTGGATCTTCCCTTTCTTGTAAGACATTATCAATGTCCTTTTTTTTATTTCTAACTAATGTTGGACTCGTTGTCTGCCGGGTAGTTGTAGCATACTGCCAAGAAACCAAACATGCCCAAAAGCTAAGCCAAGAAGCCGAGACAACAAAGAGTCACAAAAGCCACAAAAGAGCCAAAAAAGCCACAGAAACTATATTGGTATATGTAGAATATGTTTATATACAGTACACAAACCATCCCATATCAATCCCGCTACATCCCATTCTGGCATCTAATCCGATTTTTTTTGGAATATGTAATAACTGTGAAAAATCCCCATGTCATCATTTCATCCATTTGGTTTTGGTGAAATCTATCCAGACCTCTTTTTTGTTGTTTTGGTTGGTTCCCAGCGCTACACATCAGAGCGACACCTCCTCACTGGAGGACTCCGCCTCCTCGAAGCGAGCCGATGCGGCCTGGAGTAGGATTAATAGATAGACTATACCCATTATGTCTCTATATATGTTCTATCTCTACATATAAATATATATATATAAATTATCTCTATATATGTTATATCTATATACTGTATACGTGATATATCTCTATATGTATTGAAATAGATCATATCTCTCAATATGTTAAATCTCTTTAAATATATATATATATACATATAATTTTACGCGCAACGCCTGGGCTTTGCCCAGGTCTTGCAGCGTAGAGGGTCCCCATTCCCAATCAAATGTTGTTGCAACTCTGCATTCCATTGGGAAGATCAACAAAGGTATTAGGGAATATTATAATCCCATATAAAAATCCCACCCCAATTAAACTCTACATTCAACTGAGAAGATCAGCAAAGGTATGCGGGAATATTAAAATCCCACCCCCGTTTAACTTTACATTCAATTGGGAAGATCGGCAAAGGTATTAGGGAATATTAAAGTCCCACCCCCGTTAAACTTTACATTCATTTAAGATCTTCCATAAGGGTTTAATTCTCCCACCCCCGTTAAACTCCTACATTCATTGAAGATCTTCAATAATAAGGGTTTAATTCTCCCACCTCCGTTTAAACTTCTACATTCAGTGAAGATTTTCAATGAGGGTTTAATTCTCCCATCCCCGTTAAACTTCTACATTCATTGAAAATCTTCAATAAGGGTTTCATTCTCCCACCCCCGTTTAAACTTCTACGTTCATTGAAGATCTTCAATAAGGGTTTAATTCTCCCACCCCCGTTAAACTTTTACATTCATTGAAGATCTTCGATAAGGATTTAATCCTCCCACCCCGGTTAAACTTCTACGTTCATTGAAGATCTTCAATAAGGGTTTGATGATGATGATGATGATGATGATGATGATGATGATGATGATGATGATGATGATGATGATGATGATGATGATGATGATGATGATGCGTTGCCTGTCGTGGTTGCGGTTCCGGGCAAAGCTCAGGCATTTGCCGTGTTACGCGCAACGCCGAGGCATTTGCCGTAATGTTATATCTCTATGAATATTATATATATACATATATCTTTATGAATATTATATCTCTGTATATATTATATCTGTGCATATATATGCATACATATATCAGACTAATACAGACATCGATCCAAAGATAATATACCCATTTGCGAGTCTAGGGAATATCTTCACCAAAATCTATTTCTGGTTGTTTGGGCTCCAACGCTTGGAACCAAGAGGGCATCATCTTCTTCGAAACGGATTTAGAAGACAAATATGTTGAACCAGCACTACTAGCGTGATGATCGCATCAAACATCAATATCACTTAAGTTGTTCAGTTGCATCCCAATACTGGGGCCCCTCATCCATAATTTCACCCCGGTCTATTTGAAGAGAGTTACCAATCCTGGGGACTCCCCAGTGACATTCCTGTCTCGCCTGCTCGGTTGCTCCTCAAGCACTAGAGTCAGAGTCTGTCCGGCGTTCAAGAACAGATCCACGACATCACATGAAAGCAGGACGCGCAACACACGGCACAAGGAGTATCTAGGAGTCCTATCTTTTCGCTGCTACTCTTCTTGACCTGTGCAGGGCATCGGCAATGCAGAAAACATACAGGTAGCAGCCGGTAGCAGCCGGTAGCAGCATCAGCTCGCCTCCTGAATGAGTTCACATGCTCCTGCAACAGTAAGATGTTAAGTTCCAATCCACTAGGCGTAGTCTGCCAGCACAGCAGGACCAGCAAGGTGGCGTCCTGTCCGTGAAGCTTGCTTGATGAGAACTTGAGAGGCATCACCTCACATGCAGCATGAGGCCACCCATTCTGCAGGAAGGATCTCCATAATTCCCCAAAATGGCCTTTCTTTCTCGTCAGCTCACTTGGTGCTGAGGTCCCAACTCTCAAAGACCAAAGATCCTTGTCTTCCTGGACCCAACTTGCTCCTTCAAAGCCAGAATTCTTTCAATTTCTCCTGCATCCATACCATATCATACCATCCCCACACATCCAAATTTCGGCCTCGAAGATGTCCTGGCCGAGCTGCAAAAAGCACTCGCGAAAATTTTGGGCATATCCAAACATCCCAAGCAGTTCAAGTTTATGATTGTAATCCACATCCTGTGGCTCGTTGTAGACGGATGATATCGTATGAAAATGTATTGTGTATTACTATTATTATTTATATTTTTATTAACTATTATTATTAATTATTTATTATTATTATTATTATTATTTATTATTATTGTTGTTATTATTATTACTATTATTGTTATTTTTATTATTATTATTACTATTATTATTATGTACGTTGCTTTCATCCTTCCATCCATCTATCATCTATCTCAAAATCACCATGCCAGGCAAGCGAATCGGGGGACCAGCCAGCTGCACGGCTGCCCGCATTTACCTCAGGCTGCTCAGCTTGCCGTTTCTGCGTGAGGACTGGTTGAGGCTGGAAATGTCGGGGGAATTGTGCTTGTCCAAGCAAATTCCTTGGGAAAATATTGAGAAATCTATCCAGAGTAGGAATTCCGCAGATGACTTCACTGCTTTAATATGATGTTGCTATTTCAAGTGCTGTGCCCATTTCTTTCATGGAGGTATTCAATACCAAGCGCTCAAGGTCCAAGACCCCGTGCATCTTCCCCCACCTCGACGTCCACTTCACCCTCCTCTTCCTCCAAATCAGGTCCTGCCCACCAGGGGAGTTCTAGGGCATTTGGGCTCCTTCCACAACATCCTTCAGAGTCCCTCTTATTTCTACGCCTTTTTTTATCCGTCAACTTCGGAATCGACATTCCTGCTGGATTGGTTCAGGGAAAATCAGCAGGAAACCATGGTGTTCTGGTGCTTACCCCCCAAACATAGCAATTCAACCAACACACTGGGAAACATTCTGCAGGCTGTTAGCATTGGCCATCCCCTGCCTGGTAAGTACTTTGAGGACCGGTCTGTCAAGGAGTCCTGCGCATTGAAAGTAGACCAATGGTTGGGGCCCATGAGAAATATCCATATAATAGTCAACTATAGTAGATCGCAATAGATAAGAATAGATGATAATTGAAAATCCGCATTGATCATAATAGTTGATAATTCCCAAGTGCTTAGAATCCGGATCTTCAGCAACTGATGAAGGACTGAGACACCGCACACATTTTCATTCAGTCTTGTGATGCAAAAGGAAGTGCAGCGTCTGCCACAGGGTGTTAAAGTTTTCCCCTATGCCAATCGATTTGGAATAGTTCAATCAATCAGAATCATGTATATATATAGTATAATATATATATATATATTATACATATGTATATACATATATATATTATACATATATATATATATATACATATATATATATATTATACATATATATATATACATATTATGTATGTATTGAGATATCATAAATGATCCCGGAAATTCTCAGACTTGATTCAACCTCCACCATTCCTGTGCCCGGTCCTTGCGCTCGATCTCCGGCTCGGGAGCAGCATCCATGGCCATGTCATCGTCCAAGTCCAGAGCTTCGGCACCAACGTGTCGCGGCTCGACCTGGGGGGTCTCTCACATCGTGCCACCAAAGGGTTACGTGTTGATAGATGTTGATAGGTTGATGTTCAAGGATGGATGAACTGTGAAAATTCAAGGTTGTGTGCATTAAAATCCAAAAGAATCAGCTGTGAGACGTTGGAGGTCCAGTTTTCACACCCGCCACTGAGTCCTGCCTCCTTCAAGCATGCAGAGTAGTCGGCACCTGGCATCACCTCGGCCAAGGGGCTAGCCATCACGTGGCCATGCTACCAGAAGGCCTAGGATGGCCTAGGGCCCTAAGGCTCGCACACCTTGAAAATCTTCCAAGGGAGGAACCTCCAAAGCTGCGAAGCTGCGGGAGATCGGTGAAGAGAAAAGCTAAGTCCCCTCCAGTTCTCTACCAGACTCATCAAACCATAAACCTTGAGCATCATTGAACCATCAATCAAACCAGTAGAATGATAATCGAAATCTAATTTAATGATAAACAATCACTTATGCTTTGACATTCATGGTATACAGTACACCAGCAGAATCAAACATCAAACCATCCACTCTGAGCTGCACCTCATCTGCCACCCGCAGCAGTCTCCTCAACGAGGATCGTCCCTGCTGGAGCACCCGCTGTAGCATGGCCTTCAGTCGCAATGGAACCCCGAAAACCACTGGCCCATCGTCTTCCAAATTGCCATATCCCGTGATATCCCCCATCAGACGCCCATTTTGAACTGGAGATTCTTAGGGCGCAACCCTTTTGTCCATGTCCAGCTGCGCTAGGCGCTCACGGCTCTCATCCTATGATCAAGCTGCATCCCTTTCGTCCCTTTCGAGTGTTGGTTCCTGGAAGTCAACTCTTTTTCCCATAAACTGCGCTTCGAATATATTTAAATGTAACTTAGACGATAAGGACGTGCCATGACGTGCCTATCTTCCCTCAGTTCTCTGATCTTTTTGTCTCCGTTTCCAACGCTTGAACACTAATGCTACTCGCCTCCAACTTCCGAAGGCTTGCTTCGCTTTCCAGTAGCTCCTTGCGACGGCTCTCATGGTTCTGAAATAAGGAAGCAACAAAAAAAGAAGCAAAATAGACTATGATAAATGTAGGGGGTCCTCAAATAAGAAGTCCCCAAAACCATGGGTTTCAATACTAAAATGGAAAGCTCCAGGTGTGTAAACGTAATGACCTAATGCAAATCCTGACTTGTGCATATCATTGAAAAAAATATGCGATTGAAAATACCTGTGAAGAAAATGAGCGGCTTGACCCATGCCAATCGACTCATCTCCCATGTCTGCTGCAACTGCTTTAAGCTGCACCGGTCCTCTTCGCATCGGGCAAGATCGCATACGGCTGCATGCCTGTTCCAAGAAGACTTGCAAGAAGACTTGCGAGAACAAATGTGAAGCTCCTCATATATACCTATATATGTATACATATATATATATATGTAAGTAAGTAACAACATATAACACCCCAATAATCAAACTAATTCAAACTAATCAAAACTCACGCTTCTCCAAAGTGGACGACCCTCGAAAGCAACTCATGCCAGCACCACTGGTCTGCAGCTGTTTTGCTCCTGCCACAGGTCTGGAAGGTCGCCACTTTGCGGCTGAAATCAGAATTGAGCCCTGGACGATTTGCGCCACCAACGCTTGTCACCTGGGTCCAACAGCACTTATTTGGGCAGATGAAACAGTCATGAAAAGAGTGATTCACACAGCACAACTGGTGTCCAGCCTCCATTTGCAAGCCTCAGCCAAAATGTTGATATCACATGGTTGAGTGTCGTGTCTGAAAGGCACTGTGAATCATCCATGAGAATCTAACTTGGACTTTGCTTCCATGGTCTTTTGCTGAGCTTTTCCATACTTCTCCTATGGCTGAAGCTGTGAAACATCTCCGTAATGCCGCTAATCAATCAGTCAGAACTTCTAAACCATAAGCTCTGCAAATCTCAATACATTTTCAAGCAATTCAATTGTGCACAAGTCCTGCAATTCCGAAAAGCGTTTTTTCACCTTCGCACTTTGGAAATGTACAGTAAAAGAGAGACACCGTGAACTTCCCAACAAAAGTCGAGGACAAACCACAGCATAAATATAACATGAATGTATGTATGCATGCATGCATGCATGCATGCATGCTTGTATTTATGTATGTCAGTATGTCTGTCTGTATGGATGGATGCATGCATGCATGCATGCATGGATGTAAGTAAGTAAGTAAGTAAGTATGTATGTATGTATGTATGTATGCATGTATGCATGCATGTATGTATATATGTATGTATTCATTGATGTAATGTAACGTAACGTAACGTAACGCAATGTAATGTATGTATGTATGTATGTATGTATTAATGTAATGTAATGGAATGTAATGTAATGTATTGTAAAGTAATGTAAAGTAATGTAATGTTATGTAATGTTATGTAATGTTATGTAATGTTATGTAATTTTATGTAATGTTATGTAATGTTATGTAATGTTATGTAATGTTATGTCTGTATGTCTGTATGTCTGTATCTCTGTATCTCTGTATGTCTGTATGTCTGTATGTCTGTATGTCTGTATGTCTGTATGTTTGTATGTCTGTCTGTCTGTCTGCCTGCCTGTCTGTCTGTCTGTCTGTCTGTGTGTATGTATGTATGTATGTATGTATGTCTGTCTGTCTGTCTGTCTGTCTGTCTGTATGTATGTATGTATGTATGTATGTATGTGTGTATGTATGTATGTATGTATGTATGTATGTATGTATGTATGAAATGGTATGAAATGGTATGAAATGGTATGAAATGGTATGAAATGGTATGAAATGGTATGAAATGGTATGAAATGGTATGAAATGGTATGTAATGGTATGTAATGGTATGTAATGGTATGTAATGGTATGTAATGGTATGTAATGGTATGTAATGGTATGTAATGGTATGTAATGGTATGTAATGGTATGTAATGGTATGTAATGGTATGGAATGGTATGTAATGGTATGTAATGGTATGTAATGGTATGTAATGGTATGTAATGGTATGTAATGGTATGTAATGGTATGTAATGGTATGTAATGGTATGTAATGGTATATAATGGTATGTAATGCTATGTAATGGTATGTAATGCTATGTAATGGTATGTAATGCTATGTAATGCTATGTAATGCTATGTAATGCTATGTAATGCTATGTAATGCTATGTAATGCTATGTAATGCTATGTAATGCTATGTAATGCTATGTAATGCTATGTAATGCTATGTAATGTGCTATGTAATGTGCTATGTAATGTGCTATGTAATGTGCTATGTAATGGTATGTGATGGTATGTGATGGTATGTGATGGTATGTGATGGTATGTGATGGTATGTGATGGTATGTGATGGTATGTGATGGTATGTGATGGTATGTGATGGTATGTGATGGTATGTGATGGTATGTGATGTTGTGTAATGTTATGTAATGTTATGTAATGTTATGTAATGGTATGTGATGGTATGTGATGGTATGTGATGGTATGTGATGGTATGTGATGGTATGTGATGGTATGTGATGGTATGTGATGGTATGTGATGGTATGTGATGTTGTGTAATGTTATATAATGTTATGTAATGTTATGTAATGTTATGTCATGTTATGTAATGTTATGTAATGTTATGTAATGTTATGTAATGTTATGTAATGTTATGTAATGGTATGTAATGGTATGTAATGTTATGTAATGTTATGCAATGTTATGCAATGTTATGCAATGTCATGCAATGTTATGCAATGGTATGTAATGGTATGTAATGGTATGTAAGGATATGTAAGGGTATGTAACGGTATGTAACGGTATGTAACGGTATGTAACGGTATGTAACGGTATGTAACGGTATGTAACGGTATGTAACGGTATGTAACGGTATGTAACGGTATGTAACGGTATGTAACGGTATGTAATGGTATGTAATGGTATGTAATGGTATGTAATGGTATGTAATGGTATGTAATGGTATGTAATGGTATGTAATGGTATGTAATGGTATGTAATGGTATGTAATGGTATGTAATGGTATGTAATGGTATGTAATGGTATGTAAGGGTATGTAATGGTATGTAATGGTATGTAATGGTATGTAATGGTATGTAATGGTATGTAATGGTATGTAATGGCATGTAATGGTATGTAATGGTATGTAGTGGTATGTAGTGGTATGTAGTGGTATGTAATGGTATGTAATGGTATGTAATGGTATGTAATGGTACATAATGGTATGTAATGGTATGTAATGGTATGTAATGGTACGTATGTATGTATGGATGCATGCATGTATGTATGTATGTATGTACATATATGATAAATGATGAATTTGTCATAACTTATGACCTATCTGTTTCGGGTGCTCCTCAAGTTGTCCAACCAGTTTTAAAAGATGTCAGGAAGGAAGCCACCTAAAATGGAAGACCATCCCACCTGCTGCAAATGCTTGGCTCGGCCAGTGCTCTCTTCCACGAGGGTAGCAATGGCTTGCTGCAGCGGCTGGGAGACGATGATCCTGGACAGTGGCTGGAGGTTTTATGGCCCGAACATTGATGGTTTTCCACCCGATTTCCATTGATTTCCACTCAAATTTGGCCCTTAAAAGGTACAGGAAACATCAGGAAAGCTTTCAAAAGTATAGCTAGCTTTGCCAAGGAGCTCCAAATCGCCAGCTACGGCCAGCAGGGCACTGCTGAAGTGGGCAAAGGTGGAGATGAACTCAGGACCAGCACCACTGGCCTCAGATTCACCGTAATTCAATGGATTCAGTCGGATTCAGCGGAATCCTTGAAAAAATCTATCAGATCATTTTTTAGTGGATATCAATCGCAAGCTGCTAGCATCAATTCGGTAGGTCGGGTGCAGGTGCTCCCAAAGGCTAAGCCATCCGCTGTTACAGCTGAGCTTTCCTGCAGAGCAATCAATGAAAGACCAGAAGGCATCAGGAATCGTTAGGAAACGGCTCTCAGCACTGCTGTACTAACATATGCACAAACTCACTTGAACTTGGATTGCAGTTCAGAGTGCTAGAAAACTGCATTTGGTATGACAGGTTTGCCAGGTTTGAGCCCAGATGGGTTGCATCACCAGACCCAAGTCTTCGATTCTCTCCCGTCCCAACCCATCCTCGGCTGGTAGCCGTTGTAGCGCATCATGGCACACACCCTGCAGCCGGTCCCCCAGGGCCCGGCAGTTCGCCGAAATCTCCCTGCTCGCCTCCTGGAAGCAGCACTGGTCTGAAGGAATGGGATGGAAAGAATCATCATCATCATCATCATCACCATCATCATCATCGCTAGCATTATTACTGTGCTTGCTGTGGTGATGAGGATGAGGATGTGAAGTAGGAGCATGGCGATGGAGATTTGGACATCAATGACCCTGGATCAACCATCCGAGTTGCTGAAGCTCAATGAGATACAGCTCCCTTCCAAGCGGCACCTCCAGGACTTTGCATGCCTGTACATCGCATTGCATCCATTCCGGCCTCAGCCAGTGCTCGTTTGGTATTGCCTCATGCGGTACGAACAGCCACTTCCCTTCAGCGTGTGCATGTGCCATAACCCAAATCTTAGCAAATCGACACAAACTGAAACTTAGTTGACTCAATGACCTTAGTTATGGTCATTTGTATAGAACCCTCGATTGAGGTTGATCCCAAGCGAGTCATGAAAGAACGGTGCATGGAACCGCCAAGACTGCACCTGGTCACCCGAGCTACACTGGGCTGGACGAACGTAGTGGGATTGCTGGGCAGCGTCACAGATGCCTCAGTTTAATCGATTGACTTTAGGAAAAGTTCATGGAAAGGTTGGCTCACATGAGGCTCACATGAAGCAGAAACCTAAGATTTCCTGGTATGTGGTGACTATGCACTGCAAAGTTAGCCTCTTTGAGACTGCATCTAGACAGCATCCCTGCACCACCACATTGATCGGTTCCATCGCAACAATAAGGACCTTGCCATCAGTAACGGACCAAAGCTATTGGGCCATTTGCGAAACTCTTGCAGATAGAGTGTTCGAGTGTCGTTGTTACTGCACTTCTTGACTACTCAGTACAACGTAGAGCTTCCGCAACCACAAATGTCAGGAAAAGTCAAGAATGATGGCCATGTCTGTACAGTCCATCATGATCTTCATTGATCTTCACACTAGGAGAGGCTGAATTTTGCAAGGTGCCAATGTGTCCTTCGTATCAATCCAGAAATTGCCACACCTTGAACTGCAAATGTAGCAGGGAAGGAAGTCCAACAAAATCTACAGGTATGTTCATGCAGAGCCAGTCAGTTCTCTGAAATTTACGCAGCGATTTCTTGTTCCCACTGAGACACATAGCCCTTTACCTTTTTGGCCATGAGGCGATGCAGAAATCCGCACCGAAACGTGGGCCCATGTCAACCGGTCAACCTTTTGGTCAAAACCAATTACAACAACCAGTAAAACTCAGGTCATCTACCATAAGTCTGTTGAACAAAAAAACATACACTCAACTTTGCGACCAGAAGGCCATGGAAAATCAGGGCGAATACAAAGATTGAATTGACGGCTTCGGAAAATAACGCCCCTCGGCTCGGCTCAAACAGTTGATGCACCGCGGGCAAGAAGCCACAAGAGCGGAGTGCCGCAACACGCGGCGAGTTCCGAGTTCGAGTTCCTGGGCTGTACAGTTCCACTCCTGGCAGAAAAAATGAAATGTCAGGGGCTTTCACAAGCAGTGTTGTGAATACACAAAGATAATAGAAGAAAGTGATTGATAGTGTGCAAATGAAAGTGAACATCAAGCTCATGTGACAGTCCAGTCTCGCTGCTTTGATGCACCTGAGTATCTATAATCTCTAAACAAAAACAATGGATTTCTCCCGGTTGGCAGAACTCTCGACCTGACCCCCGGTCTTGCCTAGCGGGACCATCTTAGGTCACTTCTCGGCAACCTCAGGTGGTCATTCCACACATAAGATACAGCACATCAATATACATTAATCATTCATATACATCAATATACATTAACATACATTAATTAATCTACACCTCGTCCAAGCAACTGCAGGAGCAAAAGCCTGGGAGCAGCCGAAAAAAAAACATGGGCCGTGGCCATGCCAGCGAGCTTCTCATTGATTTGGTAGCGTCGAGGTGTCTGCACCTCACCGAAAAAAAAGGGCAACGTTCAGTTGCAGCAGTCGATAGCAATGGATTGAAACAATACATATCATATCATATCATATATTATATTATATGTATATATGAATTAATATGATATATATATATATACACAGATATATATATATATACAGATACTACATATAAAACCAACTGTTGCTGAGCTTGATTGGTATGTCAACCTCCTTGCAGCTAAGCTGGTCCGACCTCCAAGACTTTGGTTCTAATGCGGTATCTTCCTCCAACCAAGTCGTAAAGGAAGCGGACCTGTCAAGGATTGTTGGGGTCATTGGGGAACTCTTGCAATCCTTTCGGCCATTGGCAGCCACAAACCTCAAGCCAAATAGTGGTGCCGAAATGACCAAGATCATCTTGTCTTTCTTACGTCTTGAACATTTATACCTGCATATCCATCCAAAGCATCTTCAACTTGAACACGATAAAAATGAGCTGTTGAGATAAACTGGAGGCCGTAATCCGGCGCCACAACCACTAACCACAACTATGGTTGGCAGTTGCTATCCCTGCCTTGCTAACCACAAAGTTCTCAGGTGCCTCCCTGCCCACACTGATGACATCCCCTCTGCATGTCCTGACGACCAACCCAGGCACACATCAAGCATCCTGCACAAACGCTGGTAGGTCCTTGAGTCAAGGAGAGCATAGCCCAGCTTTTTGACCTCGCATGCTAGTGGCTAGTGCATCCAGACATGTACCTTTCACCACCATTCACTACCCACATCTTATATCAATTGCGCCCTTTCGCCCCGCAACCAGCCCTGTCCAAAAAGGCCAAGCTCCGGGCAGGGGGTGGGGAGACTTGCTCAACCCGAAAAGGCATCTGGGGAGCCATCAACCGATCTGCTTCCTCCTGGACCGACTGGACCAACACCTGAAATCGATGGCTGATCTTGCAGCTCAGCATCCCACCCTTCACTTTTGGCCAATGCGACCAAAATCAACTTTCAATTTACGATATGGCCTGGCTAGAACACGCAATGAGAAAATAACTCTTCTTTCATTTCAAAAATGGAGACAACACGAAATGAGATGCAACCTCGATGAACCAGCAACAATCCATCCATGGCTACATGAGTAACATGTGAACTGCAAGAAGAAGCATACAGGCAGGGACAACAATCCCTACATATCCCTACATGACCAAAATGACCAGTTGTTGCTTACACCTTACCCTCATTTACCCTCTTTGTGAAGTCCTCCAGCTGCCACCAAGGAATCTCCTCAAACCCAAAGCTCTGAGGCTGATTCGCCACGAGCAAGGAATCATTGCCTCACAAGCTGAGCTCCGGACCATGGGATTCTCCTTCTTGCGACCTCAAAAAAAAACAAAGGAAACTGTCCAAGAATGGGACGAAGTTTCTGAAGCAGCACCCTTGGCCACGGACCATCATTCATTTCAACGCCACATGAGATGCGCGTCAAGGAACTCCTTGGATTCAACACAGGCCCAGCTGTGCGGACGTCCCCACATCCACAGCGCTCCTGTTGGATCCCCAAACCTGCGGCGATGAAAGCACAGCCAGCTTCAAAATTCCCAGACAGCTATGCAACGATGCTTTAGATAGATTTAGATAGACCATTCAGGCCTCATGCTTTAGTAGTGAATGAGCTTGGTTGCTCTTTGAATCTGCGCCCAGTGCACCTGCAGCCCGTTGGAAAAGCACTCCGAACACCAAGAAGCCTCAGAAAGCATGCGCCAGGTGGACGTACTAGGTTGCACCGGAAACGGAAAAGTTGAAACTTTGGATCAACAAAACCACTGCTGTCAGCCCAGGTGACAAACCCCAAGCAGCACCAGTGCTGTGCTGAGCGCTGAGTGCCATCGCCGCGGTGAACGGAAGTGCCAAGCAGGCACCATTGGTGTGGCAATGAAAAGAACTATGATTTTTCAAGAAAATCAAATTGATACTGGCCTTTCTGGGAAACTCCAATGCGACTCTGTTCTTGGATGTTTGTGCAGCTTGGTCTTGATGTCGTTTTCGCCATGTTCTGACAATAGGCAATGTTACCATTTTGTGTGAGACCTGAGGCTGTGTAAGCTAACACGCATTAGAATATGGATTTGTCCAGTGTCAAAAACTTCCAGGTCCATAGCAGCTCTGCCATGGCTCACAATGAGATCCAGTCCACTGGATCTTGAGCTAAAGGCAGCATCGCCAGTGCCTCCTGTGACATTCCGAACCATCGTGGAAGTTTTGGACCAACTCCACCAACGTCCCCAACGACCCTGACTGCAGTGCACCGTGTGTAGACTTTTTGGCAAGGGACGAGCCACCCCTTCAAAGTGAGTGAGTGCACTGGGCAGTCATGGGGCAAGCTCCTTGGCCTTGGGGCATGGCAATTGAAAATGGAAAATTTTTCTCATGTTATCATGGAATGTAAAAAAAAAATGTAGAATGTCTATGAAAGTGTGAACATGATTTAACTGTACGCTTAACTGTGGTGGAGGATAGTTCTGCCCCGACATTGGAACACTCTAAGTCTTTCGCGGAGCTTTCAAAGTCAGAACCAAGCCCCTTCAGTGCCCCTTCAATCTTACGACCAGGCCATGCATAGGCTTTCCGTCTCAGGCCCCGTCACTTGATTGCGACTATCAGCGACTGCTGGCCGTTTCGGTGGCTCCGTCAGTGTGTCCGTCAATGCAGTTCTTGAAAGAAGCGCCACTACAGTCCGTTTTGTGAACTAAGCACATCTTGGCACCGAGATCAACAGTCACTTCCATGATTTGGATGATTCTGGTAGTTTGTGATGTATTGATATGATTTACTGTAATATGTATTACAGTTGCAGTACTGCTTCTTGCCGTTCAGGACTGTCGTGGAACTTGGTGTGCCGGTAGATGATTCAAACACGCTGAAATGGCACGTTCCGCAAAAGAGATACACCGAAGGCAAAGTACAGTAGATGGCGCAAAAAAAAAAATAATAATAGCGACGGTAGATTCAGACCTATTGATCCCCTATGTTGGTTGCTTGCCCCAGCGAATAGCCCGCTTTCACTCTTGGATAGAGCCATGGAGTCTAGAGAGTTGCAAGACAAATCAACTGCCTCAACATTGTTAGGGTGTAACTCCATTCAGGGGGTTACTTCAGCCTGTGTCACGAGCTAGATGTACTTCAGTGGTTCGCTCAGTTCGCAAGAGTGCCCCGTGGGATGAAAGTGAGTTCAAAAAGCGCGTGCCATTCCAATTGAGCGAGCCAGAGCATCAAACCCGCCATGAAACGCGTATGCTGACTCTGGCTGCTTCTGCCAAACAGGCAAGCAACACATAAAAACATCGGATCAGATTCGAAGATAACACAAAGATAAATAAACACATGCCAATTATGTTGGTCGTTTGGTTTTCCAGGATCATCAGCCTTCAAGTCTCAGTTGCACTGTATAGCTGAGCATTCACAAGCTGTGGATTTTGTAGCTCTGCTAGTCTTGAAATCTGTGCCGGATTACCAAAGTTCTTGAGAACTGACACGCCGACACTGTCTCCGAGGAGAACAGAAGAACAGCGCGGGTGCTGAGGCGAGTCCAACTTCCGTCGTTGCGATTGTGTCATTGCCGCGGCATTGTGTCGTCTGCCCTCACGATTGCAAGGCACGCAAGTGAAAGGAGTGACCAGCCAGCAGCTGCTGTGGGGCTGTGGCAAGGTGGGCCAAAACAACCAAACACGGGCCATGTTTGAATCAAAATGAATCAAAGATCTAAAGGGAACTTGGCTCGAAAGACAGGGAGACCAGGGGATCAAGGGGATACCAATCTCTGAAATTCCAGCAGCACAATGTCTTCTTTGTGCATCTCTTTAGTCTCTTTAATGTGTAGCTGGATCCCTGCGCAGTCGAGCCATCTGAACCCCTTCATATATAGCTTCTACAACACATCCAGCTTCAAGTTTCATGCCCCATTCGCCCCATTGCAGCTGGACAAGACAAGGGAATCTGATTCAGTTGACTGCAAGCCTCAAAACAAGATGAGCCGCCGGATGTCTTTCGCAATGGCGGCTTTCTGCTCATGGCCTGTTAATCTGCACTTCGGCTGGGATGGCTGCCACATCGGTGGAAAACACGAAGCACGAGTAACACGAAGCCCTCTGGGCGATCCGGGGAAGTTCTGCGATTCCAAACTCACCGATGCGCCTTGAACCATCTGCAGCCTTGAAGAGCAAATCCGGCTGGTGTTTTTGAGCTGAGCAAAGCCTTTTGCGAGCTTCCAGCAAAGCCTACATATATATTTTCACTCATGGCATCTTGCCTTTCCTGCGGCTGCGCGAACCTTCAGCCATGCAGGTATCCAGGACAGCAGTCCTGGGGTGGGCCTGGCAACCCCATGGACCGGTAACCCTGTGTGCCTCCCTTTGAAAGGGTTTTTATCATATTCTATCCTTGTGTATCTGTGCGTAGTTGTGACTTTCAGCACTCCGAACGAAAAATGGTTACCTTCCGTGGTGTAACCACGAAGCCTTTTGATACTTGACGATTCTGGACGAGTTGGCAACTTCTATGTATGAAAAAAGTTTCTACAATATGGGGCACAGAAGCCAGATCGATTTTGACAATCAAACAGGTCTGGAAGTGATTAACATAGTAGTTTGACTGACATTTGGACATCACCCACTTCTGGCTTCCATTGTATGGTGGAGAGCAGATCTCCAGTTTGACAGGGCGCGGAGCCGTGCCAGAAAATGCAAACGTTTTGTGCTGAGCACTTGCCACAAGGAACTTGGCTTGATTGTTTGTGTCCCTTAAAGCCACCAATTCACCAACAGCTGATGACTGAATGTCTGGCGGATGAAAAAAACAGGAAAATCATGAAATGCCAACCTTCACACTTTTCACACTCCTTCGGAAACATCCACGAGCGATGCCATGATCTGAATTTGTTGTATTTGTGGTAAGGGACTACAAGCTGCCTCCTTGGTAAGGGACAGAGGAACTTCTGAGTAGCTGAGCTTCCCGTGTAGTCGTAAAGACTACAGGAACTAGCTTCAAGCGCTCCAGCGCTACAGGTTGTCTGCTTCACACATCACATATCCGAACACAACACCAACACCATAAACCATGGCCGTGGGGGTTGCAACTTTCCCCTCCTGTTGCTTCACAAACAAAACGAAAGAAACTGAACATTTTTGGATCACGTGCTGGCAGACAGGATTTAGCTGTACGACCTGGTACACTCCAGCACATCCCCGCAAGGACCCGAAGTCTATTGAGCCTTAGCCGCTTAGCTGCAGCGAGCTGTTGCCCATCTTGGACATGGCTGGCAGCTCCAGGATCTGAGGCTCTCGCGGCACTTTGCCGGGGCATCCAGCCCCCTTTGAACTGAAAGCATATCGCTGCCTCGGCTCCACTGACATGTCACCTGACCCAAGAGCTACAGGCAAAAAACTGCTTGTGAATGCAAGGGAAGTCAGGAACTGGTGTATTCTTTAAACTGTGCCATGGATCAAATTCACCTGTTTTTTTCTGTACCCGTCTGAAAAACGTCAAAAATAACTGGTCCATTGCCCGAAATATTGGTTTCATAGGTCTGACCCATGCCCATCATTCCTCACTTGATTCCTTTTCTGCACTTAATGATCACTAGTAGCACTAGTATTATCTCAGCCAAGTGGCCAGTCGCGTTTGAGCATGAGCTCCAATGCCAAGCATCAGCTGTCCGTCTTCTCGGAATCACCTTTCCAGGCCGATTTTCCATGGGAACCATCCAACAACTGGGCCCTGCAGGCTATCTGATGTGTCTATCAACTCCGTAAAATCAGCTTAAACACCAATACCGGCAATGTCAAGAAATGGTCCAGTCCAGAGTCCAGAGTTGCTTTTTTTGAGAGTCCAACAACAACTTGGTGGTGTTAGAGAAGACGTTGATTACTTTACATTACCATCATGAATTTTGTAGTTCCCAGGACTCCGGCAAAAAAAACTGTGATACAAATGATGAGGAGGAAGGTATTATCCCTGCTTGGATCAATCAGTTTGTAAGCACAATGATTGTTGGTCAGCGCATTAATTATGATTGCGCGTGTGTGTGTACGTGTGTGTGTGTGTCTATGTATCTATGTATCTATGTATCTATGTAAACATATGTATCTATCTATCTATCTATCTATCTATCTATCTATCTATCTATCTATATATATATCTCTATCTATCTATCTATATCTATCTATCTATCTATGTATCTATGTACATCTATGTACATCTATGTACATCTATGTACATCTATGTACATCTATGTATATCTATGTATATCTATGTATATTTATGTATATCTATGTATATCTATGTATATCTATGTATATCTATGTATATGTATGTATATGTATGTATATGTATGTATATGTATGTATACGCATGTATATGTATGTATATGTATGTATATGTATGTAAATGTATGTATATGTATGTATATGTATGTACATGTATACATGTATACATGTATACATGCATACATCCATACATACATACATGCATACAATACAATACAATACAATACAATACAATACAATTCAATACAATACAATACATACGTACATACATACCATACATACCATACATACCATACATACCATACATACCATACATACCATACATACCATACATACCATACCATACATACCATACATACCATACATACCATACATACCATACATACCATACATACCATACATACCATACATACCATACATACCATACATACCATACATACCATACATACCATACATACCATACATACCATACATACCATACATACCATACATACCATACATACCATACATACCACACATACCATACATACCACACATACCATACATACCATACATACCATACATACCATACATACCATACATTACATTACATTACATTACATTACATTGCATTGCATTGCATTGCATTGCATTACATTACATTACATTACAATACATACATACATATGGTCTCGTGTTCCGTGTTCCTAACCCCCCCCCACCCCCCCCAATGGTATGGGTCCCCAAGTAGCACCCCCTTCCCTTCTATTTGCAAGCTATTGGCAGCATTTCTGAGGTCCAGCCTCGTATTTGCTAGGTCTTTGCAGCATTTCTGACCAGCCTCGCATTTACTAGGTACATATCACCTTTTAGACGACCTACGTAGCACACATACTCCCTCAAAGTACCTACGTGCTACCTATAGTCATAAATACATGTACGATGTATCTACTTCCTATTTACTACCTGTATACTCTCACAACACTACATGTATTTAACATATACCGTACCTACCATTCATTCCAATGATACCATACATACCATACATACCATACGAACTTTGACCGTACATACCATACCTATCATACCTATCATGCATACCACACATACCATACATATGAACATAATTACCACACCTCCCATACATATAATACCAAACATACATGCCATACATACCATACCTACCTTACATAGCAAACACTTCATACCCATCATAGTAACCATACATACCGTACAGACCATACATACTGTCATATCAAACATACCATACCCAACACACTTACATACCATACCTACCATCCATACAGTACCACACCCCCACCACACCACAGGGGCGGGAGGGGGACAGTACTATGGCTGACCCATGACCATGGCCGGGGGGGAGGGGGGTTGGAACGCTGGACCATATATACACATATATATACACATATGTATACACATATATGTATATATATATATACATAAATATATACATATATATATATACACATATATATATATATATGCACATATGTATACACATATAATATATATACACATAAATATATACATGTATATTTATACATATATATATATATACGTATATATATATATATATGTATGTATATATATATATATACGTATACATATATATATATATACACATATGAGTATGCCTCCAATTGCAAGACATGACTGCCTGATTCTTTCTACGAATCTCGAGGTTCGTAGAGATCCTCCAAGCAAACGCACAAGCTTGACCACCAAGTGGCCAGGTAGCACCCCCTCTTCGAAGGCTTCTTTCTTTCTTCCGGTGCCCGGAGACCTTGATGCCGTGGCTTGTGACACCAACGGCAAACCCATCTTGTCCCAAGGCCATCCGACACCGGTTGGGCCGGCGTTGCATCCAAGGGGCGTTGCACGATTGCTGGATTCAGACTGCCAATCTCCATCTCCACCATTTGAGTCTTCAGAGCTTCCCTGCGGGCAGCAAGTATCCAGAACTTGTACGTCAAAAGTTCACATTCCTCATCCATCACGCTAGATTCAACCAGCACAGGAAGTACCACATTCCTCCGGCCTCAGCCTTCTGCTGAGAGCCATCGGCTGAGAAGCCGTTGCCTCAGCACCAGAAGAAAGGGTAATATATTGTGGTGTCTTAGTTGGCTGTGGTTTGAAGCATGAATGAAGTATAATGAAGTGCTTCAATATTCCCTTGAACTATATAGACTTGTAAAATCGACTTGGTTACATCTGAGGCAAGTAGTCTAGAACAAATCCCCTCACACATGAAGATTCTGAAAAAAACGGCAAATACCAATGGGAACGTAAGTGGCACAATAGTCAAAACAAGTTGTTGGGGATACTTTTAACATCGTGTCATTTGTGCAAATCCCGTTGTGAACGCAGCTTTCATGGGGGTCATGAAAACGTATGTCGTGGCTGTCGTGGAACATCTTTGGCAGCATTTGAGGAAGGAAAACCCCTTGTGGACGCAGATTTTGTTAGTGTCCCTAAAAGAATAATACAATTTGCGGGCGTCGTCTTTGAATCTTGATCTTTGGATACTTCAAACATTTTCGGGTGACCACGACACGACATCTAAACAATACAGTCTATGCTTTCCTGCATCCGAACGCAAGTGGAAGCGAATTTGCCTCCCACTTACCCCCAACCAATCCAAGGATGTACCCCGAGTTGGAGCGACTTCACCAGTTGACGGTATGTGGGTTTGTCTGTAGGTAGAATATCCCGACATTTTGATGCTTTATCATGGTTTATCATCATTTTCGCCATTAAAATGATCCGTAATTTAGAGATATTTATAGGGATATCAGCCCATTCAAACAGACACAGCCATGATGAAACATTGCCACGGGATGACTGAGAGCCCCCACCTTTGTCGGAGCCTTCTTCGGAACCCCCAGATCCACTCTCTCCCATGCCATTGGCTCCAGCTGCAGAGCTCTTGTCCGAGCCGTTGGAGTCGCCTCAGACGGTTGTCTCCCTTTTGGGGACACCAGCAGAACCACAAAACATGTGAACTTTTTTCATGGAAAGGAAAAAAATCATCGAACTGAAAAACCTTCAATTTTGCAAACAGAAACAGAAAATCTACCCAGCCTCCGGACCCAGATCCTGCAGCTGGCGCTTTGCTCGAGACATAGGGTCTTTGCCACGCATACACCAACAGCATTTCACAACATCCATACCAAGTCTCCCAAATGATGAGGTTTCATTATTGTCCACAACAATCTGCCAAGCAAACAAATCCAGATCTGTCCTGAACCTGTTGTTGTGGAACCGCCATGAGTTGTGGTTGAATCGCCGGCCTCGGAATCCCAGAGTGTTAAGCTTGACATGTCTGGAGCTGCAGGAGAACAGATAAGGTTGGCGGATAGCCCAAAAGAAAGGGTTCCCAAAACCGATTCCATGACGAGCTGCCGTTGACTGGCCAGTTTCCTGGGGTTTCGCAATCTTTTCGAAGCGCTCAACACCTGAGCCCATGAAATTTGGACACTTGGAACTTATGATGGATATCAATAGCCCCTATTCATGGATTGATGACCATCTCCCAATGTGGGCATAATAAATATAATGTATAATATGTATTATATTTTATATTTCATATAAATAATTATATATACTTCAATTCTTGATCATAGCAAATATTATGAGGCACTGATATGCGGAAGGACAACTGGTAATGGATTCAACGTTGAAGCTCCTGGACTGAGGTCAATGCTGATGTTGTGTCCGGCAACAGTCTGATTTGCACCATGGGCTAGGATTTTCTCCACCTGGAACCATTGTCATTGTGTTCGTTTCGCAGGATGGAAACCAAATGAAACAGAGTGTGCCCCGGGGGGGTTCGAACTGTTCGATTCGAGTTCGAACTGCCATCCTAGGTGTGCCTCGAGGGGAGGGGGGGGGTTCGAGTTCGAGTTCGAGTTCGAGGGTTCGAGTTAACCCGGGGGGGTTCGAACTGTTCGACACCAGTTTGAACTGGCATCGTACGTCTGCTTCGGAGGGGATTGGGGGGGGGGGGGGAAGTTCGAGTTCGAGGTCGGGAGGATTTTTTTTTTGGCGGGGGGAGGGGCGGAGGAGTTCGAGTTCGAGTTCGAGGGTTCGAACTGTCATCGTTCGAGGGGAGGGGGGGGGAGGAGTTCGAGTTCGGGTCGGGAGATTTGCTTTTCGTTGGGCGGGGGGGGGGGAGTTCCGAGTTCTAGTTCAGTTCGAGGGTTTCGAATTGTTATTGTTCCAACACAGGGGGAGGGGGGGGGGTTCGAGTTTCGATTCGGGTCGGGGGGGGAGTTCGATTTTCGAGTTCGAGTTCGAGGTCGGGAGATTTTCTTTTGTTGGGCGGGGGGGGAGTTCGAGTTCAAGTTCGGCGCGGTCGCGTCTTCTTGTTCTGTTTTCTTTTTCTTTCTTTCTTCTCTTCTTCTTTCTCGGGTTTCGAATTATTACCTTCCAGGGAAGGGGGGGGGGGGGGGGGGGGGGAGTTCGAGTCGAGTTCGAGTTCGAGGGTTCGAATGTCATCGTTCGAGGGGAGGGGGGGGGAGTTCGAGTTCGAGTTCTAGCTCCGGGATTGTTTTTTTTTGTGGCAGGGGGGGGGTGGGAGTTCGAGTTCGAGTTCGAGGGTTCGAACTATTCTCCAATGTTGTCCGTACTATGACTCTTCCAAGTCGTCGAACTCCCGCTCTGGCGAAAAACTGCGTGTGACACTGATGGCTGCACATGTTCAATCTACGCTTGGTGTGGTCATCGCATACCCTTCTGGAAGGAGAGGCCAAGTCAGGGTGGGGGTTTTCATGCGTAGGCAGACGTGTCGCTGAGAAGCCATGTTGGTAATACAAGTACTCGGACCAAATGTTGGCCTGAGAACACGACATGGGTATGTTGGCTTGAGAGCACAAACATTCTCGATTTGTCGGGGCTAAGTTTGCCGAAGGTCATTGATTTCCTGGGGGTTGATGGCTTGACATGGTGTGCAGCCAGTTGCCGTCTAAATTTGGTCATTGTCTCGTAAAACAAGCAGCATCCAACCATACAGCTTGGATGTTTTTTTTTCGTTCCGCTCGGAGCGATGATATGCAAACTATACGAAGCGTCGTTGCTTGGCGAAATGAAACTTAGTTGCCTTAGATTGGACATGATTTCAAGATCCCTCAGTACTTTAACGTGGGGTCTGGGCCTAGAAAAAAATCGGTCTAAAATGATGACCCCTAACCTTTGAGAGAGGTTTTGAAGCTTTAAATTCCTGGCCCCTAACCTCTGAAGCCGAACTCTCACTTCCAACCACCTTTTTGAATTTGTTTTGCTAATTTCCTGGTGCCCAACGTCCAACATCCAATAAATTTACCCCTCTGATAGCCAAGTAAGAAAATTATTTCCTGGATGCTTGCGTTGGTAACATGCCATATCTCCCCCCCTCAATCTGATACGGAAAAAAATTAATTCCTGGCACCTGACTTCCCGGCTGACAGCTCGCAGTCTTTCAGAGCTTGACCGTGAATGCATACTCGGAAAGGTTTTTTTTTTCTCTCCGGGGGGGGGGTCGAGTTCGAGTTCGAGTTCGACGCGGCCGCCGCCAGGTCAAAATCGAGTTCGAACTGCTCTGGGGCGAGTTCGAAGGCGAGTTCGAACTGTGTCACCGCCAGTTCGAACTGGAGTTCGAGCATGTGGACCGCGAGTCCGGACTCAGAAAGCTTGTTTTTTTTTCCCGGGGGGGGGGTGCGAGTTCGAGTTCGAGTTCGAGTTCGACGCGGACGCCGCCAGGTCAAAATCGAGTTCGAACTGCTCTGGGGCGAGTTCGAACGCGAGTTCGAACTGTGTCACCGCCAGTTCGAACTCGAGTTCGAGCATGTGGACCGCGAGTCCGGACTCAGAAAGCTTTGTTTTTTTTTCCGAACTCTCACTTCCAACCACCTTTTTGAATTTGTTTTGCTAATTTCCTGGTGCCCAACGTCCAACATCCAATAAATTTACCCCTCTGATAGCCAAGTAAGAAAATTATTTCCTGGATGCTTGCGTTGGTAACATGCCATATCTCCCCCCCTCAATCTGATACGGAAAAAAATTAATTCCTGGCACCTGACTTCCCGGCTGACAGCTCGCAGTCTTTCAGAGCTTGACCGTGAATGCATACTCGGAAAGGTTTTTTTTTTTCTCTCCGGGGGGGGGGGTCGAGTTCGAGTTCGAGTTCGACGCGGCCGCCGCCAGGTCAAAATCGAGTTCGAACTGCTCTGGGGCGAGTTCGAAGGCGAGTTCGAACTGTGTCACCGCCAGTTCGAACTGGAGTTCGAGCATGTGGACCGCGAGTCCGGACTCAGAAAGCTTGTTTTTTTTTCCCGGGGGGGGGTGTCGAGTTCGAGTTCGAGTTCGACGCGGACGCCGCCAGGTCAAAATCGAGTTCGAACTGCTCTGGGGCGAGTTCGAACGCGAGTTCGAACTGTGTCACCGCCAGTTCGAACTCGAGTTCGAGCATGTGGACCGCGAGTCCGGACTCAGAAAGCTTTGTTTTTTTTTCCGAACTCTCACTTCCAACCACCTTTTTGAATTTGTTTTGCTAATTTCCTGGTGCCCAACGTCCAACATCCAATAAATTTACCCCTCTGATAGCCAAGTAAGAAAATTATTTCCTGGATGCTTGCGTTGGTAACATGCCATATCTCCCCCCCTCAATCTGATACGGAAAAAAATTAATTCCTGGCACCTGACTTCCCGGCTGACAGCTCGCAGTCTTTCAGAGCTTGACCGTGAATGCATACTCGGAAAGGTTTTTTTTTTTTTCTCCGGGGGGGGGGTTCGAGTTCGAGTTCGAGTTCGACGCGGCCGCCGCCAGGTCAAAATCGAGTTCGAACTGCTCTGGGGCGAGTTCGAACGCGAGTTCGAACTGTGTCACCGCCAGTTCGAACTCGAGTTCGAGCATGTGGACCGCGAGTCCGGACTCAGAAAGCTTGTTTTTTTTTCCGAACTCTCACTTCCAACCACCTTTTTGAATTTGTTTTGCTAATTTCCTGGTGCCCAACGTCCAACATCCAATAAATTTACCCCTCTGATAGCCAAGTAAGAAAATTATTTCCTGGATGCTTGCGTTGGTATATAACATGCCATATCTCCCCCCCTCAATCTGATACGGAAAAAAATTAATTCCTGGCACCTGACTTCCCGGCTGACAGCTCGCAGTCTTTCAGAGCTTGACCGTGAATGCATACTCGGAAAGGTTTTTTTTTTCCCTCCGGGGGGGGGCGAGTTCGAGTTCGAGTTCGACGCGGCCGCCGCCAGGTCAAAATCGAGTTCGAACTGCTCTGGGGCGAGTTCGAACGCGAGTTCGAACTGTGTCACCGCCAGTTCGAACTCGAGTTCGAGCATGTGGACCGCGAGTCCGGACTCAGAAAGCTTGTTTTTTTTTCCGAACTCTCACTTCCAACCACCTTTTTGAATTTGTTTTGCTAATTTCCTGGTGCCCAACGTCCAACATCCAATAAATTTACCCCTCTGATAGCCAAGTAAGAAAATTATTTCCTGGATGCTTGCGTTGGTATATAACATGCCATATCTCCCCCCCTCAATCTGATACGGAAAAAAATTAATTCCTGGCACCTGACTTCCCGGCTGACAGCTCGCAGTCTTTCAGAGCTTGACCGTGAATGCATACTCGGAAAGGTTTTTTTTTTTCTCTCCGGGGGGGGGGTCGAGTTCGAGTTCGAGTTCGAGTTCGACGCGGCCGCCGCCAGGTCAAAATCGAGTTCGAACTGCTCTGGGGCGAGTTCGAACGCGAGTTCGAACTGGCGTCACGGAACTCGAGTTCGAGCATGTGGACCGCGAGTCCGGACTCAGAAAGCTTGGTTTTTTTTTCCGGGGGGGGGTGCGAGTTCGAGTTCGAGTTCGAGCGGGGCTCACTATGGAAATGGAGAGATAAGTTAGATAAGTTAGATAAGTTAGATAAGTTAGATAAGTTAGATAAGTTAGATAAGTTAGGTGGATGATCGACCTTGTAGTATGTTGATCAGTTGATTATCTGATTTAGCACCTAAAGCCGCCACAAGGACTGAGGCAGCGAACGCTTTGTGGAGAGTCCATCACAATGAAACCCAGACCTTGGTTATGGGTGGGTCACGCAGGACAGTGAAGTCCTTGCTTTCAAAAATTAGCAGACCGGAGACCCCCACAACTCATCATTCCATGCTCTATTTCTGGAAGAGGAAAACCAATCACTGGTAAATCCAGCCATATGAACATGTTTGTTTGAAATCCCTGTCGATATCTTTTCAGAAATTGAAATCTCCAAGCACCATTTACTGCACATCCTGATCCATTCCACTAAGACTGCCACTGCCAGGACGAATTCGAGACTGTGCACCCTGCCGACGGAAAGGCTTCACCTGCACCAGCAGTGGCTAAGCCCAAGTCATGTTCAGGATTTTGAAAATGGTTTATCATGGTTTATCCATCCCCTTGGAATTCCACCAGTACCTCGCTAATAAAACAGAAATTGTAATGGAGTATAATCAAAAAATGAAAGTAATTGAAGTAATACAACATCAATCAATTCAATAGCATATATTAATATATTACCCCAGTATTATTTCACCATTACCATGGGACCCCATCATTACTCCCACGCATGGCTGTCTCTGGCCTTCGAGTGGGCCACCAGCACCTTCAAGACCCGGCCGTACTGCTCGTAGTGAGCACTCAGCACGTCCTCACGCCAAATTGACATGCCAGGGATGAAAACGAGTGCATCTAAAAGAAACAAACAATGAAAAAAGTAAAAAAAAAAAAACATCTACATCATCTACCTGACCTTGGACTGGAAGCCCATGCCGTTGATTCGACGCCTTGGGAGCACAGGAGACCCAGGATCCCAGGACCCCAGGACTTTTGCAGAGTCTGATCAGCCAACCGAATGCTGATCGTTCAATCGTTCACACAAAAAAACAAAACACAAGTCTGCGATGGGGGTCTGGGATAGCCTCTGGAATTGTCAGACTGGAATTGTCAGACTGGAATTGTCTGAGCTGCCAAACGCAATGAAAACGCACCTTGGCGGGGATCCCAAAAGTGAACCCGCGCAAGATTCCACCAAGAACACAAATGTCTTAATCTGGTAATCACCCAATTCAAGTTCGTACAAAAACGGCACCACGAAAACATCAATCTTCCAAGCTAAGATCAATCCTCCAAGATCTCATCACTGCTCAAACTGATTGATCCCCTTTGCAGTACTCCTTTAGAGGCTGTCCCTTAGCGTTGTCCTTCCACCAGACGAAACTCTGCTTGAAGTATCTTAAAGTCCCAGTCATGGCCCGTCTGAGTCATCTGACTTCGGATCTTCAGTCTGAAGCTGTGTCAAATGCATCCCCAAGGTGCTCTTCTTGTCCTGCCAACTTTCGGGATTGTTTCGTTGGCTGTGACAACATCTTGACCAGGGGAGAACTGAGGCATGAAACCCCGGAATATGACGGGATGACGAGGCTGCTCACATTCCATGCAGCCACACACCCATGCATTTGCCCAGCACAGGAGGATTAAAGAAGCAATGAATGACAAACCGTGCCAGCTTGGCGGCATGAAGGCTTGCTTTTTCTGTAGAACTTGATGGGGGAGAAGAAGACTGGGCTGCTTCCTGGTGCGAGTCAGGAACAGCAACATTTGAACCTACCCAGTTCCCGAACAAGCTACAACCTCTTTTGGGTGAGGATACTCCACATCGAAAACACAACATTTAACATGTTCAAGTGCCACCTCGCAAGCAGCACTACAAGACATAAAAATATATAGTGCACTTTGGGAGCCACTGCTGGCTTTCCATCACAAGCAACCATGGGCCTCGTTCTCAGCGTTGAGCCAGCCTGCACAGCACCATGTCTAACCTATGAGGCTGCAATCTATTTCACCAGCAGGGTTTACGTAAATATGTGTGTATATATATATACATAGAGTTGTCCAATATATATATATATAGAAACTATATAACTATATTATATATATATTCATATACTATTATATTTATGCTGTATAGCCAATATCAACATCGAACCCACTTTGGCATCTTCCTGAACAGGATACATGGGTTCAAGCATCAACTGTGCTATCCTCACGAATGTGATTCACCAGAGATTGTAGCGGCTCAGCTTACTTAGTACTTGCTAACTCCCTGTCTCGGCCTTTCTTCTTCTGGACATGATTTGCACGATTTTGAGCCTCAGGTTGTTCAACAAAATGAAGGCACGATATCTTCATGCAAAAAATCTGCAATAAAGCCGCATTGCGAGAACTGAGGCTGGTACACGGGCCGCATGCTTCATGTCCATGGAACCATTACTTGAAATCTTGTCGTGACCTGGGAGAACAAGTTGGCAGGGATCACAATCCATTGGTGCACCACAGTGCACCAACGCGAGGGGAGACACCCTGACTAGTCCTGACTCAACACTCGGATCACTCGGATCACTCGGATCACTCGGATCACTCGGGCAAACAAAGCCACTCTCTGGCTGCCAAAAGCGTCCCAAGTGCTTCCCTGCCTGCGACCATATTTCCCGCACTGCCTGGCATGCCCATGTGACCTGAAGGCGCATGACAATCATAGTCTGGTGCAGGATTGAAAGGTAGTACCCCAAATAGGAAACTCTGTTCCTTTGCCCTCCTACTACTCCCTTTTTTTCTAATCACAAAAAAGAAGTGTGACGAATCTCAACCCCTGTCTTGAGACCACCCTGAGGTCTTCCGCTTGGGTGCGGACCATAGGAAGCCAAGGACTCCAAAGGAGAAGGGCATCCGGGATCTGGCCTCGTGATGAAATGCTACGATTTCACGAAACAAAAATTGTGGAAATAACAGGAGAAAAGGTGAACATATGGGGGAATAACTTCGGAATAACCAACATCAGTCAGGATCAAACATGAAAGCTGCAAACCCTATGTTTGCCATGACAGATCTCCCATATCCTTTGACATGTTCAAATTCCTGCGTAGGGCTAGGGTTCTTTTTTAACTTTCCAAAACAATCAACCCTAATAAAACCACAAACCATAAAACCCAAACACCCTAAATCCTGGAACCTAAAGTCAAAGTCGCTGTGTAAAGCCAGTGTTTTCGTTCATCAGTGACAAGTACATTATAAAATTATAATCATTCTATTGTCTGGGTCTGTTATTTGGGCATGGGCGAACGTAGGGTTGGTTTATGACAGGAAATGTTACAGGAACAACGTGGTTCCTCCATGTTCCTCCCATGGGGCAATGAATCACATCCCGTTGGCCTCATAGATCCAACACGGAATGGAATACTGGATACACCAGTGGATGTACTATTGGATGTTGAATGGGTATCAACGGGGCCTTGGAATTGCATGATGACTGGATGGTAAATTCTTGGATGTTCTATGCTTCTACCGACTTCTACCGACTTCTACCGACTTCTACCTCACTACCCAGCGCGGCACCGCGGCTCCGAGGCTCCCGGCATGCCCGGTGGCCAGTCCAAACCAGGGGCAGGAGTCCCAGGAGGATGAATGTATGCAGGCATCGACGGCATAGATGACATGGGTTGTTGCGATGGCAACTGTGGAACCTGCTGGGCCTGGCAGATGTGGGGCGGATTACCATGTCATACCGAGTACCCCGAAAGGATGTCATTTCTGTCATTTCTTACTCTTCCAGCGCATAGATAATGATCAGAGAATAATCACAATACAGAATTTATCTATACTATACTCTTCTGTGGCTAGCACAAGAGTTAAGTTCCCGGCAACATACGCAACATTCATGAACTGGTTGACTATCCTTGGCATAGCGAAAACAGCAAGCGGGTCATGCCCCTCAAGGATCACATGAGGCCACAGGCATGCTGCAAAAACACAGACCATAACCACCCATGTCCTCAAGATCGGTAGTGCTCTCTCTCTCTCTCTGCAACATTTCATTGGTCTTTTCATCTATCAAGAAACATCGAGCAACCTGGCATCATACATACCGTGCAAACCTTATGGAGCGAGGGGTATGACCTGCATTCTCTCCCCAAGACCGTGCATTGTGCAAGCCCGGTGTGAAGCACCCCAGTGGATTCCCATCAAAAGGTCATGGTCTTAAATCACTGAACCCCATTTACGATGGATAACCAGCCTTTTCTGGGTCCAAAAAAGTGCCCCACTGTCACCATAGGCACGAGATGGCACGAGAATTCCTCCAAGCATCTCTTGCATTTGCAGCAGCTTGGGTTGTAGCTCTTGCATTTGACGCTGCCTCGGGAGTCAGTGACATCAGTGACTTATTGGCTCACAACTCCGTAAACACAATGCACTGAAAGTTAAGGTCAGGGGTAAGGGTGCAAGACCAGGGCCCATGCATTTGTTGGAGCTGCTGCATTTGCCGCAATTGTTGCAGCTGTGTCCGCTGCTCCTGAAAGGTTGGCAAGCTTGGACCCATTCGCCAAACCACCAAACTATCCCAGCACATCTCTGCAGAGCTGTCGACGTTGAAATTCGGGGCTCGCCTGCAGCCATTTATCAACCTGCTCGCATGCAAATCGCGAGAGAAGGGTCCTCGGCGAGCTGCACTTTTGAGAGTCTGATATCTAAGATGATTTATGTTTGAACGTACCTCTGGAGCATACCCAAAGTCCCTCCAACACCCGAAATGAAAGGAATCGTTTCATAAGCAATCTTTAAGCGGCAAAGGGTATGCTCAAGGGGTCTGCTGGAACTTCCTTAGATGATATGCAAGCTCTGACCCCACCAAGCGTTGGCAGCAAGCACAGCTAGTGCCCTTGCAAGGCAAGAGGCTGCTGTTCTGAAGTCAGGCTTTGCTCGGGCATGGTTGCCCGAACCTGCCCAGCTCCGAATGAGCCGTGACTAAGAAAACGTTAAATTTGCTGAAAACAAGGCAAACAATATTCAAACTATTCGTTGGCCTTCGTTTTACGTGTATTGTGTATGTCTATGTTCTGATTTAAAAGCCACCATACCTGTCAAAATGAAGACTTTCAACTCACTGCATTTCTGTGGAAGCTTCATATTGCAAGCACCAGCCTGATCATGTTGTCCTAGCAATCGAAAGATCTCGGCAAGCTTCGCCAACTGGATACTGGGAGGGACCTGCAGCTCCGGTCAAAAAAACATTAGAAATGTTGTGAACAACATTAGAATCACGTTTTGAAACACGTTTTGATTTCCAGCTGCCGAGAAGGTCACTTTCTTGAACCCAACAGAAATTTTGGAAATACGTCTCGTGCCTCGGCTTGAAGTCCCTTACCTCGGTAGGATGCGGTATGCGGATGTATGCGGTAGGTCAACCCACGGGAGCTGGGGCTCTGAGGCCCTGAGACCCTGAGGCCCTGAGGCTCTGACCAGCGTGGGATCCAGCAACCTCAGGAGGCGCATGCCTGGCATGGAGCAGATTGGAAGATTTGAAAAGATTTCATCTGAATGCTGCAACAATGGTAGGATGTGAGAATCCATACCATCCATGAGAGGCTGACTGGATCATGCTTTGTTCAGACAATGCCCATATCGTGTCTCAAATTGATTCAAATTGGCAGTTTAGTTGGCGGATGTTTTGCTGTTGAAGTCCGAGCACTGAAAATGCAAAACTAAACCATGGCACACCCGATCCAACCATCAAGGACTTTGCACGTCTGAGGGTGACCAAAAATGATCAAAGAACAGGCGCATCACGGCCTCTGTCCATTGAGTGGTCCGGCAGGACATGGCCAAGCCGCAGCCTGTACTCAACCATTGCAGACACAGGTCCAAAGTGCGATCACTTTATTGGCCCAGCAAAAACCAATTGATCCCCCAGGGTTTTTACTTGGAATTTCTCTTGACATCTGCTCTGTTGCTCAGTAGCTATCATGTCGGCCTGTTCCACAATTGGATGTTGCCGCTGCCGCTCGGGAACACTCCTAAGTGCCGACCACAGACACCGAGAACCAACAGCCACTCCCAACGGCACCCCGGCAGCTTCAACCAGCCCAGTGCGATCCAAGTGGCGCCAACCCAGCCTTCACAAGATTCTGCTGGGCTACTTGTTCCAAGAGACTCTGCAAAGCTGATGCCTGCAGCTGAGTTGATGGAACTGAGTCCCGATATTATTGGATCCATCCCCAAATGAAGTGCCATACGAGCCCAAGCACGGAGCCTCTGCGGGTACAGGCACACCAGCTGTCATGCTCTCTCTCTGCGACTGGGCCACAAAGTTAGCCTTCCGGTTTTCTGCATCGACCACAACTGCCGGACAGAGGGAGATTGCCACACCGTTGAGTGGATATCCAATTTGCTGCCCTTACAGAATTTCAACAGCCATGCAATAGAATCCAACCCATGTGAAAGTCTGAGGAGCCAACCAGCTCAGTCAGGGACGAAGCCAAGTCTTGAGCACGGAACCCCTGACAGTAAAAGTAAGTGCTTGATCCTAGTGTTCCGAAAGCAGGTCTGACTTATCGTTTTCTTCCAAAAACAAATTATCCCGGCAAGAGACCCCAAACAATGTGGGGGGAGTCAAAGGATAATGTAGTATAGTATATATAGTGTTGATGATGATGTTGATGTTGATGATGATGTTGATGATGATGGTGATGTTGATGATAATGGTAAGGATGATGATGATGATGATGATGATGATGATGATGATGATGATGATGATGATGATGATGATGATGGCGATGATGATGATGGCGATGATGATGATGATGATGATGATGATGATGACGATTATGATGATTATGATGGTGGGGATGAGGATGAGGATAAGGATAAGGATGATGATGATGATGATGGTGGTGATAATGATGATGATGATGATGGTGGTGATGGTCATGGTGACGATGATGATCATGATGATGATGATGATGATGATGATGAATGATGATGATGATGATGATGATGATGATGATGATGATGATGATGATGATGATGATGATGATGATGATGATGATGATGATGATGATGATGATGATAACGACGAGGATGATGATAATGCGTAAGGAGCATGGTAAGGTGGAGGATGATGATGTAGAGAGGGAGAAAATGATGTTGAGGAGGTTAAATGATGATGATGATGATGATGATGATTATGATGGTGGTGGTGGTGATGATGAGGATGATAATGCGGAAGATGAAGTGGAGGATGAAAAGGTGGAGGATGATGATGTAATTAGAGAAGGAGGAGGGTGATGATGTTGAGGAGGGTAATGTTGAGGAGGATGATGACAAGGATGATAAAGCTGCGGAAGATGAGGTGAATGATCATAGTCATAGTGTTTGGGAATATGAGGTGGAGGATGATGATGTTGAGGATGATGATGTCAAGGGAGAGGAAGATGATGAGTTGATGTTGAGGAGGAGGAAGGTGATGATGCTGAGGATGATGATGTTGAGGAGGAAGACCGATCCCAAGACCGGGAAGCACACTTTGTGCGAACCTGGGCAGTCGAAACGCATGTCAAAATTTCAGAAGAGCCACTTTATACCCAATTTACAGGAAAATTCTGCAGACCAAAACCGCGCCGCAGACTTTGTGCGAGCCTGCGCGGTCGAAACGCGTGTCAAGATTTCACAAGAGCCACTTTATATGGAAATTTACAGGAAAAATGCCGGAGCCCAGAGTGAGCACCCTGATCAAGCACCGGCCTTTACACTTACCGTAAGAACCCGACACACTGTTTGGGGAAATCTGGTGGCAATTCGGACCTCTGCAAGCTCTAGCCACTGCTTCAGTATCTTCAGTCTGCAACAATCTGTTGGTGCTAACGTCCCCACCTGATTAGGACTATGTCGACTACTGGCCTGGCAAATGTGCAATGGTGAGGAATGGTCCAACGTGTCCGAATTTAGGATCCAAAATGCAGCCAACCAATCTTGTCCAATGTTCCTTTTGAGATCAAACTGTATCTTAAACTGTAAACCCTACAGCCCAGCAAGGGCTCAAATGCATGCTAGCCAGGCAGAGCCAGGAGCTGTAGATGAGGCCGACGCGTTCGACAAAGGCCTTGCCAAAGTAAAGGGTTTGGGGGAAAATATAATCTGGCTAAAACAAAGTTAAATTAAGTGGATCGGTTCGGATACATAATATTTATATACATTATTACTATTATTATTGTTATTGTCATTTATATTATCATTAATAATTTATTATTAATATAAATTTATCATTAATACTTTATTATCATCATGATTAGTAGTAATTTTTATTATTATCATTGTTATTATCATGATTATGATTTATTACTATTTATTATTATTAGTAGTAGTCTTATTAGTATTATTATGAGTATTATTATTGGTATTGTTGTTTGTTATTACGATCATTATTATTACTATTATCATTGTTATTATTATCATTATCATTATTATCATTGTCATTATCATTATCATTATTAATATTATTACTATTATATTTATTTCTATTATTATTAACATTATATTATTATTATATTATTATATTATTATCATTATTATTACTATTACTATTACTATTACTATTACTATTACTACTACTATTACTACTACTATTACTATTACTATTACTATTACCATTACCATTACCGTTACTACTACTCTTACTCTTACTCTTACTCTTACTCTTACTCTTACTCTTACTCTTACTCTTACTCTTACTCTTACTCTTACTATTACTATTACTATTACTATTACTATTACTAGTACTAGTACTATTACTATTACTATTACTATTACTATTACTACTACTATTACTACTACTATTACTATTACTATTACTATTACCGTTACTACTACTCTTACTCTTACTCTTACTCTTACTCTTACTCTTACTCTTACTCTTACTCTTACTCTTACTCTTACTATTACTATTACTATTACTATTACTATTACTATTACTAGTACTAGTACTATTACTATTACTATTACTATTACTATTACTATTACTATTACTATTACTATTACTATTACTATTACTATTATTATTACTATTACTATTACTATTACTATTACTATTACTATTACTATTATTATTGTTATTATTATTATTTATATGTTTTTATAAATATTAGTATTATTGTTATTCTTATAATTATATATATATATGTAAGTATAGTTTGTTTTTCTCGTTTCGTCAGTCATCACCCTGGTCCTTCACTTGCCAATAGACATTTCGTGTGGGCAGCACTCTGAGGCTGATGCTCTATTGTATTTGCTGACTCCGCATCAGCATAAGTTGCGGCATCTGCATGAGCATGCTTATGCCTGTGCACCGGGTGGAGCGAGTCCGCCTCCTTCTACAGAGTACAGAAAATTTGAGTTGAGTTGGGGACCTTACAGCCAACGTTTCAGATAAAATCCCAAACAGTTGCCACACATTCCAGCACCTTGATCTCGTTTGGTGGAAGAGCTCCCTGCGAGCTTGCCCTCAGAATCCAAAGTATATTTTTTTCGCATCCCATAGAGTTAAAACGAGTTAAATAGGATCTGTTACATTTTTCCAATCCCCTTTGGAAATCCAGCATTTTGTTTCTTTCTTCAGAAAAACATGGCAGAGGTATTGTCGTGTTGCAAACCCTGCACTCAGATCATCTCAGGCCAGGACGGCCGGCAGTGTGCCAGGAACCTTCAGCCGAGACCTTGTTCAGACTCTGGGGGTCAGCCTGGGTCCAAAGTTCACAGGCTGACAGTTCACAGCACCGAGTCAAATTTTGGTATTCATAGATACACAACATGGAACAACATGGAACATGGTACAATATGGTACACCTCGCACTTGAGAACGTCCAGTCCTGGTTTCATTTTTAGACAACAGTTCCCGACCAATTCAAATTCAAACAAGAGACTTGGACCCAAAAACGGTGGAATACGTTGCATGTTGCATGGACGATGTTCTTACAAACAATTACGGAGGTTGCTGCACAAGCACAAATAAAATGACACAGTGATCCAATGCTGCCGAAATACCATGACCACGGTCCCAACACCTCAGCTTCAGCCTCAGTCACAGCAATAATGTGCCATTTCCTTTCATTTATATCCTGTTTTGAAGCGTCCGTAAACAAAATGTCGTCCCCAAGTGGACAAACTACGATGTGCGCACTTGTGTGGCATTGAAAATGTTTTAAACGCAAATTTTCCACAAATTTCCGAGGTTGCGGCTTCCGCGGGAGGTTGAGCGTCGTACGGCACTCTCGAAACTTCGTCACCTGACCACAAATGCCACACTGAAACAAACAAAAATCCCGACAAAATTGAAAACTGCAGAAAAATGCGTTCCCTGCCATCAACACAACCATGCCTCCGTCGTGGCAACAGTGACTTCAGCTGCACCACGAATTTCGAAAAGCGCGGCTGCGGAATTGTGGTCACACATACATACGCAGAATCAAACCCATGCGAACCAATAACAATAGATTTAAGACCGCATATCAAACAACTGCAAACTAAATTGAAATGCAACGATTCCATTCACGTGTTTTTTTGTTCGTGACATTGCACCCATGTACCTGCCTATAACCGCATTCGTTTCGTTCCCATGGTTACAATCTGTGGCAACCATGGAATTTGAACGCACTGTACCTTTGTCCATGCACCTTTTATTCGTTGGGTGTTGAAATTGTGAAGACAATTTGGTGCAAGACATGGCCATTTCATCCAATCCGAAAGATGTTGAAATTAACCGAGTCACATATGTTATTCCCAAAACACCATTGTTGTGATTTTGTTGGTTGATTGGTTTTTGTTTTTTGGTTGCAACACACCATTGTCCTCACCTCTTCACAATCTCACAAATTCAAAAACAAATACCTTCAGCGAAACCACAACTGCAACCACATCAGCGTAAACATCGTTACAATACTCACACCAAGGATAACAACAACGAACAATCAAATCTGCAATTTCTTCCTATCAATGTAGCAACGGCCGCATTTTTCACAGTATTTTGCCCGCATTGTGTACGTGGGATATTCAAAAACCTTCTTGAAAAAAGTAAGACAATTTCCCGGCGGAAATAATAAAACCGCCTTGAATAAAGCAAACCAGCGTCGGGCTAGATTTTTGGGTTGGATTTTCTGGAAATGTTTCGTCGATATGGAAAAATTGTAGATGAGGAACCGGAAATTGAAGATTTGCTGACTTTATTTAAAAAAACCTTCCTGAATTTTATTGTACTAGTATAGTACTATATATAGCCTCCCAAAACCCTCCCATCTATAAGGCCGAGTATGTATATCTACAAACCGAGTATGCATACCCTTATATATACCAACTTATTTGCTTGACGTGACATGGGTTGACCACATGAAAATGTTCACCTTGTGCCTGCAAGCCTTGGTCAACACTCGCTCAGCAGCTTTCTTTTTGGCGCTGGGGTGACGGTAGCATCACATATCGGTCGCGCTCTATGGCATCGGGTAGGCCAAAGAGAGTAATGCGACAACTTCAAAAATCGGCCAAGATGTTTCACCACGAAATCATTGAAAGTGAAGGTCCAATCTGGGGAGGCGGCCATGAACACGTAGATACTGTTCCATCTGCCGGCAAACATCTAAGAGCTGGATTGCCAATAGGAAATTGAGATGCACTCGCATCTGTCAAATGCCGGCACGAAGATTCAAGGCCCCCGAAAGTTCTTAGAATTTTAGTCCGGATATGTTCCCAAGTCCCTGCCAAGGTACAAAGCGCCCTTCTTGTTGCATGCGTTAGGAGTCTAAGACGAAGGGGGGGGGAGCCCAAAAACAAACAACGCATCAAAAGACCAAAACAAAACTAAGCAGCGTGACGCCCAATCGTGACAAAACGATCCATTGCCAACGCAAACGCAGAAAAAAGGCATTCCGCCAGCAATGTCGCAGCGGAATCAGCACCTCACCCACGCCATGCTGCGAAAGCCTGCGACAACAACACCCAAACAATTCCAAACAACATGGTGGCAAAGATGGGCAACATGCCGGCGGGGCTGGAGACCTTCAATCAGCAACCGTGTTCCCCGGGATCCTGCCATTCTGTTGGACTTGCAAAAGCACTGCGGCTTGTTAAAGCCGCGCCAGTTTTGGCAAAAAAGGTCATTGCAGCAAGCTCATTTTCGAGGCCGTAAAGCTTTTTGGACCCCAAGAAGTGGTCCTCCCCAGTTGCGTTGAAAGCTTGACCCAAGTTTGATCCACTTGCGTCATGTGAAGAGCTTCGTCTCCAGCAGCTCGCAAGGTTCCACACTGCCAAAAATGGCATTGCCACGCGCTACCGCTTTTCGCTTTGGACAGGGCCATTCCGAGGCTGTTTTCAATCTCTATTTTAATAGCAGGCGAGACCAAAAACGGGCGTGACAAATCCACACGTTGGAGCGTGTGGCAACCATGTTTTTGGGGTTGCGACATGACGCTCGGAACGCCCCGAGCTGCTTCAAAAGTTCACCAGAAACAATGAAACCACAAAAGCCAAGAAGGATGACACAAACATCCATGCGCTGAACTGGGGAGGACCTCCTTTGGGAGTCCAAATTCTATATACATTTCCAACCCCAAAAACGGGCATCAAACAAATCGAACAATTTAATATGTCGCCCGGAGTTCAGTATCATCCGGTTAAAGAATAATATTAGATATACAATATATATATATACATATATATACATATATATATATATATTTGTTTATTTATTTATATTTAAAACCGGATGAATCCTTTGTTTACACTGGGGGAAGAGTTCCGATTTCATCACTCCAGCAGATTCCGTAAGAAGGCTGGAGATGCAAAATTTCCGTTTTACCAGAGTTTTGTGCCAGTTTTGATGTCCTTAGTTGCGGACTCTTGCCGGAGTCGGGCGGAGTCGGTACACCTGCTGCAACCCCATTTACTTTGGGGAAAGAGCTGAAATAGTTCCAAGTTTGTGACTCTAGACGACTCTGCAAGAAAAGCGCAAGATGCGCAAGATGCTGTTTTGAGATTTTTGAGGTTTTCAGTTTCAGTCGCGCTGACAAGGCGTTTGAAATTTTTGAGGTTTTTGAAGTTTTCCGTTTACTATGCAATTTACAACATGAACTGCTGCTTTGAGATGTTTGTGCTCGTCCCTTTGTAAATTAAATTTCTTATTCAAACAAACGTAAAACTCAAAACGCCACGCAAATCGCTCGAAGGTCGGACATGTATTTAATATTTCTACGGAAGTTTCAGCAGATTTCACCGCACTTCCACACATCTTAAAATAGCTTGAACAATTTGAACATGTTTAACATCTTCAACTCTTCACAGGAGGATCAGCTATATTTGCTTGACTCTGAAAGCTGAGCTGAAAACACCGCCAGGCTCACCAACACCGTCAGTTGGTTTTCAGTTCATCAGATTTTTCTTTTTTTGTTACAGGCGGTACGTTCGCAAGCTCACTACTCCCAACAAACAAAGGCCACAACAAGTTGAAGCCAAACGTTTGTGCTCGTCCCTTTGTAAATTAAATTTCTTATTCAAACAAACGTAAAACTCAAAACGCCACGCAAATCGCTCGAAGGTCGGACATGTATTTAATATTTCTTTTTGTCTTTGCTTATCTTAATTGAGTCGGGGGTGAAACCGCACAAACACAAGTCAAGTGTCTGGTAACTGTTTCAGGTCAACAAGTCATGTCGCCTGTCACCCCCGTTTTTTTTTTTCGACATGTAAAGAGCTTCACTTTCTTGTAACTTCCAAGAGCATTGTTTCAGGCAAGCATATATCGCCTGCAAGGTTTCCTCCCGAGATTGCCTCGTTGTCAACGAAGTACAGTGCTGAAGAATTGGAAAGTTCATTGCGGTAAAAATACCTCACAAGCAAAACTGCAACCAACTCAATTTGACAAATTTTCTGCTGAAGTCCAATAGATGTCCAGTGCTCCATCAGGACTGGTGGGATGGTTCCCCAGTGAATTGCATTAATGCCAAGTTGAGGGATTATGACAACTGCACCCCAGGTTCCATTCCCATTCTCGTACGCACCGTCCGTGTAAATCACTGCCGGACGATCGCTGCTCAGGAAGCGAATTTCTCGTGGTCGCATTCGGTTAATGATCCTGCATGTATCATTGCACAAGCGCGATATGAGCTCTGTATCTGATGAACCTGACTGCAAACTTGCAAACTGTCTGGCGGCAGGCTTCAAACAACGTCCAACCACAAAGCCACCAGCATAATTCAGCAATCCATGCATAGTCGCCGCCTCGGGTGCAGACACAGTACCCTTGGCAGCGTATGATTCAAGCATCTCCAAAATCCTCTGTATCCGACTTGGGCGGTTCGCCACTGTCACTTGTTTGTTCCAAAAGTTCTGCAAGTGGAATGCTACTCCCAACACCTGCATGGTGTCAGAAAAATCAACACTCTTTTTACCAGTCGTAGCATGCTTCCACCCAAGCAAATCCAAAAGGTGCTGCACCACGTTCGTAGTTGTTGCCGCCAAAGGTTCAAACTCAATAACAGGAAAATCATCATAAAATACAGTGGTAAGGAGGTGAAATTTTCGAAGCAAAGTCCAGATACCGCGCGTGATCTTGTTGAATGCAAAAACGCTGGACGTGGCTCCAAAAGGCAGTGACTTCGATATAAAGAACTTCCATTCGCCAGATTCACTTCGCACTCCCAAAACGCTATGTCTAGCAGACTGAGGAGCAACACTGACCTGCTTGTACGCCTTGCTCAAGTCGATGCCCCTGCCCAGCAGCAAAGGCTTTCGGTCGTAGTCAGGGTGCCTTCGACCAGTGAGGTGGTCACCTGAAGAAAGTTCGATGTCGATATGTGGATCTCCGCAGAAAACACCCAAAGCAAACGCAAGAAAGCAACTGATTACGTCGGTGTCGTGCAGGTCAAGGTGCGACGATGTTCCAAAGGCCGCATTCACTCCCGACGTTTTGTAGTTGTCAATCACTCTAGGTTTAAGGTCTTCACCTTGCAAAAGAAGGAACCGTTGGGACATTGACCAGTCCGCACGCCCAAGCCTTTCTG